CCCCAGGTAAAAAATTCAAATGCAAAAAATCCGAGCCCAGGTGAGAAAATCCCAAAATTCCCCAAAAATTCCCCAAAAAATTCCCACAAAAATCGCAAAAATTTAAAAAAAAATCCCACAAAAATTCCCCAAAAATTCCCCAAAAAATTCCCAAAAAAATCCCCAAAATTCCCCCCAAAAATTCCCACAAAAATCCCAAAAATTCCAAAAAAATCCCAAAAAATTCCCCAAAAAATCCCAAAAAATTCCCCCAAAAAATCCCAAAAAATTCCCCCAAAAATTCCCACAAAAATCCCAAAAATTCCCCAAAAAATTCCCACAAAAATCCCAAAAATTCCCCAAAAAATTCCCACAAAAATCGCAAAAATTTAAAAAAAAATCCCACAAAAATTCCCCAAAAATTCCCCAAAAAATTCCCACAAAAATTCCCCAAAATTTAAAAAAAATTCCCACAAAATTCCCAAAAATTCCCCCAAAAAATTCCCACAAAAATTCCCCAAAAATTCCCCAAAAATTCCCCAAAAATTTCCCACAAAAATTCCCCCAAAATTCCCACAAAAATCCCAAAAATTAAAAAAAAATCCCAAAAAATTCCCCCCCCAAATTCCCCCCAAAATCCCCAAAAGTTCCAAGAAATCCCAAAAAATCCCCCCAAATTACCCCCCAAATCCCAAAACCCCCAAAAATTCCCAAATATTCCCCAAAATTCCCAGAAATTCCCCCCAAAATTCCCAAAATTCTCAAAAAACTCCCAAAATTCCCCAAAGTTCCCAAAATATCCCAAAAATCTCCCAAAATTTCCCAAAAATTCCTCCCAAATTCCCCAAAATTCCCCCAAAAATCCCCAAAACCCCCCAAAAATTCCAAGAAATCCCAAAAAATCCCCAAAAACCCCCAAAATTCCCAAATATTCCCCAAAAATTCCCAAATATTCCCCAAATTTTCCCCAAAATTTACCAAAAATTCCCCTCAAATTCCCCAAAACCCCAAAATTCCCCCAAAATTCCCCAATTTCCCAAAAATTCCCCCCAAATTTTCAGAAATTCCCCCAAATTCCCAAAATTCCCCAAATTTGGGAGCCTCAGAAGCCCCCAAAATTTGGGAATTCCCAAAAAATCTCTCTGAGCCCCTCCCCCATTTCCAGCAGCGCCCCGGAAACGGCGAAAAGCGCGGGTGAGAGCGGGAAAACGGGGAAAAACGGGGGGAAAACGGGAAAAATGGGGAGAAAATGGGGAAAACGGGAAAAATGGGGGGAAATGGGGAAAAATGGGGAAAAATGGGGGCAAAACGGGAAAAATGGGGGGAAATATCGGGAAAAAATGGAAAAATCAGGGGAAAAATGGGAAAAAAATGGGAATGAAATGAGGAAAAATTGGAAAAAAGGGGGGGAAATGGGAAAAAATGGGGAAAAATGGGAAAAAATGGGGAAAAATGGGGAAAAATGGGGAAAAATGGGGAAAATGGGGAAAAAATGGGGAAAATTGGGGTAATGGGGAAAAAAATGGGGAAAAATTGGGGGAAAATGGGGGGAAATGGGGAAAAAAATGGGGAAAAGCCGGGAAAAATCGGGAAAATTGGGGGAAAATGGGGGAAAAAATTGAAAAAATGGGGAAAAATTGGGGAAAATGGGGAACAAAGGGGAAAATTATCAGGAAAAATGGGGAAAAATGGGGAAAATGGGGAAAAATGGGGGAAAATGGGGAAAAATGGGGAAAAAAACTGGAAAAAATGGGGAAAAATGGGGAGAAATAGAGGAAAATGTGGAAAAAATGGGGAAAAATTGGGGGAAAATGGGGAAAAAAATGGGGAAAAACGGAAAAAACGGGGGAAAATGGGGAAAAAATTGAAAAAATGGGGAAAAATTGGGAAAAACGGGGAAAATGGGGGAAAAAATGGAAAAAATGGGGAAAAAATGGAAAAAAGGGGGAAAAATGGGGAAAAATGGGGAAAAAATCCGTTAAATGGGGGAAAATGGGGAAAAAATGGGAAAAACTGGAGGAAAATGGAGAAAAATGGGGAAAATATCAGGAAAAATGGGGAAAAATGGGAAAAATGGGAAAATCAGGGGAAAAATGGGAATAAAATGGGGGAAAATGGGGAAAAAATGGGGAAAATCCGGGAAAATTATCAGGAAAATTTGAGGAAAAAATGGGAAAAAATGGGGGGAAATGGGAAAAATGGGGTAAAATGGGGGAAAATGGGGAAAAAACAGGAAAAACGGGAAAAATGGGAAAAATATCAGAAGAAATGGGGAAAAAACGCAGGAAAATGGGAGAAAATGGGGAAAAATGGGAAAAAATGGGGAAAAGCGGGGGAAAATGGAAAAAAAAATGGGAAAAAATGGGAAAATGGGAAAAATATCAGGAAAAAATGGGGGAAATGAGAAAAAAATTGGGGAAAATTATCAGGAAAATAATTGGGGAAAAATTGGGGGAAAATTAGGGAAAATTGGGAAAAATAAATGGGGAAAATTGGGGAAAAAAGAGGGAGAAATGGGAAAAATATCGGCAAAATTTGGGGAAAATAATTGGGGAAAATGGGGGGAAATTGGGGGAAATTGTCCGGGAAAATGGGGTAAAAACCGGGAAAAATAAATGGGAAAAAATTGGGAAAAAATAATTGGGAAAAATTGGAAAAAATTGTGAAAAATTTGGGGACAAATGGGGAAAATCGGGGAAAATAATAGGGGAATATTGGAAATAAACTGAAAAAAAACCCAGGAAAAATAATTGGCATAAATTGGGGAAAAATTGGGAAAAATCCGGGAAAAATAATTTGGGAAAAATGGGGAAAAATAGGGGGAAAAAAATGGTGAAAATAATTTGGGAAAATTGGGGAAAATTGGGAATTTGGGAGGAGATTTGGGGGAATTTGGGGAATTTTGGGGTGATTTTGTGAAGGGGTTTGGGAATTTTGGGGGGAAATTTGAAATTTTGAGGGGATTTGGGGAAATTTGGGAGGAGATTTGGGGGAATTTTTGGAGATTTGGGATTTAGGGGGGAATTTTTGGGAATTTGGGAGGGATTTTGGGGGGAATTTGGGAAAATTTGGGATTTAGGGAGGGATTTTGGGGGGAATTTTGGGGAATTTGGGGAAAATTTGGGATTTAGGGAGGGATTTTGAGGGAAATTTGAGGAAATTTGGGATTTAGGGAAGGACTTTAGGGGAATTTGGGGGAAAATTTGGGATTTAGGGCGGGATTTAGGGGGGAATTTTGGGGATTTTGAGGGAAATTTGGGATTTTGGGGGGAATTTGGATAAATTTGGGGTTTGGGGAGGGATTTTGGGGCGATTTGGGATAAATTTCGGTTTTCTTAAGAGCAAAATTTCCTTTTTTGTGGGAAAACCGGAAAAATTCGGGATTCTCTCGGGAATTCCCCCAAAATCCCGAATTTTTCACTCAGAATTTGAGGATTTTCCCCAAATCTTGGGAATTTTCCCTAAATCCTTCCTTTCCTTGCAGCCCCAGCGGCCTCGGCGTAGCCCCGCCCCCTCGGAATGAAGCCCCGCCCCCTTTGGGGTTAAGCCCCGCCCCCAGTGCATGAAACCCCTCCCCCCAATACAATGG